TATCACTTTAAGCACAATGCTGCAGGCAATTAGCCGATTAAGGGTGCAGTTAGAAGTTACAATATAAGGAAGCATTAGAAGCTGGAAAGCTTACTGCGACTAACTGTGTCTTACTGCGACTAACTGTGTCTTACTGTGACTAACTGTGATTACTGACTGTGAGTGCCTGTGACTGAACTGTTCTTGTTTGCTACTGTTTGCTGATTTACTGCGTAATTCTACTGTTCTACTGTTTGAACTTCTTGCTGAATAACCAGCGTTTGTTCCTCTGGAGAGAGGCACCGGAGGAGGAGAAGATATCTTTATCGGCTGATAAAGATATTGCAAGGACTCTTAACTTGGACTATACTAGTGAGTCTTACTGGATGGAAATACTGTGAATGACTTAATGGACTGAATGACAATGCTTTAAACTCTAAATGGATTAAAAACTATTTAAACTACAAAGAAGTGTTTGTGTTCAGTGTGTGTATACTCTGGGGCCCTTCCACTCTCGTTTGGCTGCCTGGCTTGACTACTGCTGCAATACTCTGCTAGGGGTTAATCCCCAAACACTAACACACTTTTGTATTTCTTGTTTTCATTTTAGGCATTTTTTACGCTTGCCAGAGACATCAAAGCAAAAATTGACAAGAAACTGGTAAGCACCTTCATTATCATAGAGTTCCCTTGGGGAAAGACTATGAACTGTGGCAAATATTCTCTTTCATGGATATGAAGACATTCCCTGATTGTCCGACTCATTGATTGGATTCACACATCACTCTAAGTGGTTTATTTTGTTCAGATTTAGTATACTGTGAGAACCCAGTCATTGTGGTTTTGTAAATCATGCTTAACCATGGCATCATATTTACAACAAGATCAGTAAGCAAAGTTGCCCTCTCCATCCTGTTCTTAGAAAGCAAAGGTGCTGTTGAACATTGAACGGAAGCTATGAGTGAATTCTTTGCCTTGAACAGTAAAAAGCTTACATGCACATGGATGTGTATAATATTTTGTGCGAGCAATATGGTTTTCTAGCACTGCAGGCAGGAAGGTTATTATAAGTATAATGCATTTGTTGTTTTTTACAGTATTTATTGACCACTCAAATTATACAATCTGGATAGTGTAGAAAACAGGAATAATTAAAATTAACGTAGGATTGCATGACCAGTAAAATGCTCAGAATTTTCAACCCGAACCATTGAAAAAGAAAGTGCCTTCTGGAACATCAGAAAAGAAGGGACCATGTATACTTCTGGGTCAATGAGTTCTGCAGTGCAGGGTCAACAGCTACTACCATTGAAGAGGAAGGGTGGACTTTCTATACCCAGGCCATGACAAAGTTTCATCCATCTGTGCAGCCAGTGCTATTTGTGCTCCCCGCTATACAGCCTGAATCAAGACAATACAGCTGATCTTCTTCTAGACTCTATTATAGCTAACTTTTCCCAAGAAGAAGAGGTTGAAGAGGAGCTGAAAGCTGTCAAATATAACCGAGCAAAAGTTGGCCACTTCAAGAGAGGGCACACTATCACCTCTTTCAAGGCAAGCAGCATTCTGCTCTCTCTCAAAGAGGCATTGACCACTGCTTAGCTCCAGTTGCACATACCTGGTCATTAGCACAAGAGAGCAAGAAGCAGAACAGATCAAGCCTACAGGTAATAAGGCTCAGAGTAAAAGTACCACACCCATTTTAGGGTTCCACAAACTCAATAGAATTCCAGGTTATTTTGCATGGCAATTGCCAATCTGTTTGTAAGGCTAACCCCCAAATATGCTTTGAAACAATCAGATCCTCAAGCTCTCTTCCCCGCCCTTCTCCTTACAACTACTTTAAAACCTAAAATCCAGGAAGGCCAATCAATAGGATCGCATCCCTGTTAATGCCCAACCACATCTCAGCCATGTACACAATGTACAGCTGTCCCTTCTCTTGTAGTGGCCTATCCAGGGCAAACCCTAATACTTGCGGGGAGAGAGACTTTACTATCAGACAATACCTAGGGATCATATAAAACGAGAGCTCATAATTGGGAGTTCTGAATCTTCAGATTCCAAGAGAGGTACAGAAACAGTGTGTCTTTCACTTTGTTTTCTTTATTCAACTGATTTCATAATTACTGTATATAATTATCCTATATGCTGTACATGATTTTGCTGCTCTGGATATTCTGTTGCATAGCATTACTGGCAGCTTAATATTACTTACATGTTCCAACAGTATTCCAGTATTACTTCATCAGTTTTGGCTAGTTCTGCTTGCATAACTGGTATAGCAATAATATAATGGAGCTTCCACTCTATTCTGCTAGTGGATTTTAAGTTTAAGACTGACTTTTCAATTTCCTAGTAACTGAATCTTGCCATTCTTTACCTTTCTAGGAAGGCAATAGCCCTCAGGGCAATAGCCCAGGAATGAAGATCAGCCCAAATCAGCCAAAGAAAAGCAGTTTTTTCCGATGTGCTCTTCTGTGAGGGGCACAGCCTTAACATGAGGTGCTGTTCAACCTTTCTGGACTTGCCCATTTCCATGGGCTTTTTTTCCTCTCTGGATCTGATCCTACACCCGTCTAATGCAATGGGACAAAGTGGCTCCTTTTCATAATCAACTCTTCTGCGAGAGAGAAGCATTAATTCCATCACTGCTCCTGATAAATGTGGGGCATGTAGATCAAGAAATCAGATACCGGACATTTTGAAACAGGCTTTTCTTTTTCTCTCGGGAGATGACTGCTATCATGGCTAATAGAAAAAGTGATGATCAGCATAATTCTAAATGATTTTCCTCTGCCTTCCCAATCTATGAAGGAGTATAGGGTGTAGCCTGTAAGACAGAATGAAGCACTGACATTTGTAGCGGATTACTCACCCTCCCTCTTGGAATCAGGAAAAACAAAATTAGTCTGTTCTTGGCACTCATTCTAGACACTCCCATAATAGAAATTGCACAATGTCTCAAAATAAAAGTAAATTATTTTTTTAGAGAAATTTGTGTATTCTTACATATACAGGTCAAATTCCTTTCCTCTTGTGCTTCCTTCTTGGTGTAGGAGATTGATGCAGGGAGAGTATTATTTGACTGATTAGATAAATGTTTGATTTTGAACTGTGAGCTACAAGTCCTTGTGATCGTATAAAGGTTCCCAGCAGGTTAGACAACATCAGTCCACTTAGCTTACTGCACCTTGGTCTGACTGTGCTAATCTTGCAGTTCTTTGGCATTAGACTCTTGTCTGACTTACAAATAGCTGCTTTCTCCTTTGAGAAAGTTACTTGGGTTCAGCCTTTTCTATAGGATTTTCTGAAATTCCCAAGCAAAAATCAAACTTACTATTGACCCTGTGAACATATATTGCCACAATAGAAAACTGATTTTGTAACTTCTTCAGTGTACTCAGGATTCCAGTATAACTTCTGTATCTCTGGAAGACTCACTTAAATGTTGGAATCTATCTATTTACAAGAGTTTATTATTAAAGGGCAGTTTAGGCTCCATGACAAAAAACTATTTTATCTGGGCCAGGGTTGCTTCCTATGCTTTCTCCACGCAGCTCTGTGTGGCAGTACCAAAGCAATAGATATGGAAGTTACTTAATGAAACTTGTACTTCCTTCTTCAAGATTACCGGAATAGATTTCCAGAACTTTTTTAATCCATCCATTAAATGAATAGTAAGTTATCAAAATATGATCCTGATTTCTGACAATGCCCAAATGTGGGGAAAACTGGACCAAAGATAATCGATGTTTTTTGAGAGAGAGATAAAGCCAAGAATGAATCCATTTCCTTCTGTGAAGGACAAAGATACGAATTGTACTAAAGATTCAGCATTCTGTCCCAATAATTCTGATTAAAAAATAGCAAATAAAATTATCTCCATTACCTAGGAGTATTTCCAGTTGCAATCCTTAAAATAATATTCTGGGTTGTGTGCTGATTAAGAGGTTTGCACACCTATTTTAGGACAGATCAGCCCACTGTGTGCTCCATTTTTCATTTATTTAATGTGTTTTTATAACATTTATATATCACTGATTATTCATCAATGAGGGGAGGGCATTGTACAATACTTAAAGCCACCAGTGTAGCTATTAGTCTTTTCACTGACTTGGTTATATGTATTGTGAGAACCAAGCCATGAAATATTTGTTTCACCAGCATCACAACTTTGCCACTAAATGAAGTCACCAATAAATGTGAGAGTGATCTGGCCCCACAACATCTTGTCACTCCACTGATTGCTGGAATTGATTTGCTTGATCTGGCTAGCCAGGCGGGTGTTGCCTTCCTCATCATGCCTTCCCAAAGCTGTGTGCTTGATGGAAGAGATGACCGTCCCAGATAGGAACGCCCTCAGTGTTTGGTGAAGTTCAACCTATTTTCCAAAGCACCTGAAGGCCAGGCAAGAAATAATGGATGGAAACTGATGGAAAATAATGGATGAAACCTGGAAATAAGGAGAAATTTTCTGACAGTGAGAATACTCAACCAATGGAACCGCTTGCCTTCAGAAGTTGTAGGAGCTTCGTTACTGGAAGCTTTCAACTGGCCTGCCATCTGTCAGAAATGGTGTGGTAGAGCAAGGGTCTTCAAACTTGGCAAGTTTAAGACTTGTGGACTTCAACTCCCAGAATTCCTGAGCTAACATGACTGGAGGAGGAATTCTGGGAGTTGAAATCCACAAGTCTTAAAGCTGTCAAGTTTGAAGACGCCTGGTGTAGAGTCTCCTGCTTGGCCGTGGGGGACGGGTTGAACTAGGTGACCTACAAAGTTCCTTCCAACTCTGTTAATCTACCTAACTCTAAGCATCTCAGGTAAAACATCCCCTCTGATTTCGCTCGCAGCTCCAGCGCGTTTCCCTTTTGCTTCCCTTAACGTCCAAACAGCAAAACCTTCTGTGACTCATCCTGGAGCCGCTCTAGCATTTAATTCTCTATGGATAAAGGCAGCCGTTCGCCGGTTTTAGGGATCCGCCCGTGTACGCATTCCGAAGTTTCTTGTTGCTTGGTTCCTTTAACCCGGAAATACTTTCGCAGCCTTGTCCACACAGCCCCCGAGAGAGAGGAAAGGGAATCGTCGATGCGCTGAAAGAAACGGAGGATGTCGGAGTACGAAGCTGTCCAGCGAAGCGCTCTTCGTATAAAGGGGGGCACCGACGGCGGGTCTGCGGGGAAACGGTGAGGGGAGCCTCCCAAGGCAGAAATTGGATAGGGGGCCGCGTAGACGCTGGCTTTGTTTTTCATAATCCTACGCTCGCCCCACTCTTTTGGGGAGGCGGGTCTTCTTTTGCTGTTAGCCGAAAGGGAAATAATAAAATCTTAATTTCTAGCTTTGGTCTTCTGTCAGGAAGCCCTAACAATTTCAATTCAATGTGAGGGATGTGTGTTTGTGTTTATTTTCATAGTCATAAACTGTACACTGAAGATTTAATTTCGTTGTACGAGGTGCAGTGACACTAAACTAAACAACTAAACTAAACTAAACTAATAACAACAGAGTCCTCACGACCAACACTGCAAGAGAAGGATAGAAGGAGGAGTGATTAATTTGGCTGTTGCTGCTGCAGCAAAAGCCCTTCATCAGCTATGGCAGGGATCCCCAAACTTGACAACTTTTAACATAGCTGGCTGGAGAATTCTGGGGGTTGAAGTCCAAAAGTCTTAAAATTGCCAAGTTTGGAGACCTCTCAGCTATGGGAAAGCAAGGCGAGGCTGTCTCGAAAAGAAACTTAAGGCCCACTATTGGAAAGGCTTGGTCTTGCAATAGTCACCCACACATTAAAAGGGCAGAGAGGCGAGGCCTTTGGGAAGTTGGTATGGTTTAAAGGCTGAAAATGCTTCATTCCACTCCCCAAAATTAAGAAGTGGAGCTATAATTCACGATTAGCAAAGTGTTTTAAATTCCTCATTTCTGCTGTAAAGACCAGGTTATCCTCAGGCTTGTGCCAGTGTTCCAATTTGCCCTTTTCTCTAACAAGAAAATATAATAAAAGGGCATGAAAATGTAGAAAGATGGTATTTTTTTTCTATCATGCTTTGTCAAAGCATTTTTACTTTATCTGAATGGTCTCTTTTTAGAAAGAAGAAGAAAGATAAAGAAAGAAGCAAGATTGTAGACCAGATTGTGAGCAGCAAGAAGCAGGAGGAAGAAGAGGAGAAGAAGCGGGCTCTAGACAAACGTACTCCAGCACAGTTGGCCTATGAAAAAATGCAGGAAAAGCGGGTTGGTATCTAAGAGAGAAAGAGGCCACTACAGAGAGTTTGGGTTAAAGGGAAACAAAAATCTTCCTTGACAAAATGACAATAACCTATAACACCTTTTTTATTTTATAGCAAATAGAACGAATCTTGAAAAAAGCATCCAAAACCCACAAGCAGAGAGTAGAGGTAAGTTCTTGCTTTGGGAGCTACATCTTCTTGCATAATGGCAAACTCTTATTATGGCTTAGCATGCTGTATCACCCAACCTAAGATGCTTTTAAGGAGGAGAAAATATGGATGAGAATTTTCCTCTGTGGATAGATGTAGACTTAAAATGTTAACTCTTATACTGCAAATTGCTATTAAACCTAAGCTATTTGCAAAAGAAGATTAATCAATTTCTCCCCTCAATCTTCCTCACATCCTTCTGTATTATAGAACAGCCTGAGTGATTTTTCTGGTAGGCTGTTCTTTCTTAGTCATTAGAGAAAACACAGAACATAAGAAAGACCTTTGAGATCACATCCAATGCAACGTACAATCTAGTGCAGCATTAGACTACAGCATTCCTAAAAGATGGCTATTTAATCTTTGTTTAAACATCTCTAGATAAAAAGAATCCTCGTTTGGCAATCTGTCCCATTATTTATATTTTATATTTTTATTTTTTCACTGCTCATCTCCCTCAAGAGAGGAGCTCTGAGTTGTGTACAATATATTGAACAGCTTTTACTATTAGGAACTGATGTCCAATTAATGTCTGCTTTTAAATGAAATAATTTATAAACCCATCATTTCTTGACTTCTGGAACAAAACTGAAGTCTGTCCCACCGTAAGAGTTTGACAACTCTTTATAGATGTTTTAAGAATGCACATCTTCAGCCCTCTTTACCCTTCTGGTAAAGATCTAGGTAAACAATCAGTTCAAGGTAATTTATCTAGGTAAACAATTCCTTTGTTTTCAACCTTCTGGAAAATGAATGTCAGAAAAATACTGAATAATCTTGGGCACTTTGCAGTTTTGGTTATATGGAGCATGGACAAGTTGAATATCCCATGTTTTTCTTCCCTGAAAGTTTTCTAATCTGGTTGATGAAGGCATTATTTGAATTTTCTGTTATTTATAGCACACTCCCATAAAAATATCATAGTTTTCCTTGTATTTTTACCCAGTGCTGTTGTCTGGAACCATGTGCTCAGTTAGCTGGATCTCTAAACAGATGTGCACTTTCATTTAATACCATTACTCCTCCATCCATTTTGTCTGATGTATTTCTTTTGAAATATATTTATTTAATATAATTTGTATTTACTACAATTTGACTCATAGTTTCATCATCTAAATCCACAATCATTAAAACAATTCAAAACAAGCAATAAAAATCACACAAATAAAAACTGGCAAGAGCTACCACTGCTCCACCACTGTCCTCCACTTGCAACTGTTTAACAATGGTTCAGAAATATGACAGCCTGGATAAGTAATTTCTGTCCCATCCTCAAAGATACAACTATGACACCATCCAGCAGAGACATGATCACAATGCAGGGATTTGGCAACCAGCTCACATTTACTATATTTGCAATGTGTTGCAGTCACGGATCTTCCCAGCTGGCTTCCGACAGTCAATTGGGGAAGCCATAACGACCAATTTGTTTAACAACAGTGGTAAAATGTTAATTAAATTTGGTTTGGTCACATGGTGACTCATTTAATGATCCATCACTTAGGGACTGAAATTCCTGTCCCAATTGTGATTAAGTCAAGAACCACCTTTTCCTCCTTGAACTCTCAGCAGAAGAGCAGTCCTTAACCACCTTCCAAATATTCAAGAAAGGCCCAACCTAATTTTGCAAGAGGTGGCAGACAAGTTGTTCAGTAGAGTTGGGGCAAACATCAATTCTCAATCCCTTCATTTCATGCCAAGTAAGGTGGGATCCTCAGTGTAGTTTAATGAGACATATAACTTCTGTAATTACATGTTCATCATTGGGTGTCTGTTGGATCTCTCCCAGGGCCAGTTTACACATAGCATCAGTGCTATTTTCTGAGCTCTTTTCATTACTTCCAAATGTGTATCCTTGTGATTAGGCTGTTAGAAAAATTATGTCTAATATATTTAAAGTTTCTTATTTTGGATTAATTTAGATTGAATACATACAAGCTAGATTCATTGAAATCAGAGGGATTTTATGTACTCACGAAGAAATTTATTCAAATAGATCTTTGCTGAATCTGGATATTTGTACTCTGTAAAGTAATGAGTTCTTGCTTCTGACTAATATTCTTTTTCTTTCCTAGGATTTTAATAGACACTTGGATACTCTGACTGAGCATTATGACATCCCCAAAGTCAGCTGGACTAAATGAGCACCTTTTTCATCAACATTTCCTTCTGATATCTTTTGTTTCTGAAATAAGCAGGCGTGTTGAGCTGCAACTCATTTGGCAGAATTGCTGTTTTCTTGTAACTTCCTTTTCTTGATCAAACTTGCTTTTAAAGAGACACATGGCACCCATTACTTTGCGTAACTGGCAGTTAGCTGTTTAAGTTATTTCTGCTTTATTGTTGCACATTTAAAGACAAATTAATCCTTGGCTAATTATAGACAAGATCAGGCACGTACAAAACTTAGGATATATGCAGTCTGTTGCTGAAAAGCAGCTCAAGGACAATTTAAATGCTTAGGGTGGGAGAATTACTCTATGTACCGTTTTCTGATTGCTGCATTGTAAAAGTATGCAATAAATATATACAAAGGGAATAATCACATCAGCCAAAGCATTCATCCAGCATATTTCCATCATTTCTCAACACTCTGATCTGGCTTTACTGTCTCCTTGGTATACAATATCAACAATTCCTAAGAAATATTATTTGTAGAAGACAATTCTAATGACTCCCAGCTTCATCTACTGGAAGGACCACTGCATTCTCCACTGTGATTTACTTATGAAAATGTTTAAATAAACTGCAGTAATTAAAAAACACATATCTTGATTAAAAGTAAAGAGCGAGCTTATACCATATTGAAAGTTGAACACCACTGCAAAAAAGTGATATTGAAACTAAATGAGTTGACTAAAACCAGCAATATTGTTTTAATTCTTACCCACTTAAAGCCTGCTCCCATGTACGGGACAACAGGATAATCATTTTGGCTTTGTAGCACCAATGTTTAATTTTAAACCTAAAATCCAGAAAGGGACAAAAATGAAATGTAATGTAAACCCAAATTATATCTCAGTAAATCTATGTACTATTGTGATCTTGTAGTTTTTGTGAACTGTTACAATCTTGTTAACGTTTTATCTTCCTTCAGTTGGTTTTCCTTTAGTTGGTTTGTTGATCCTGTGTAGGGTTTTCCTCTTAAGGCAGGGGTCCCCAACCACCAGTCCGCGGACCGGTACCGGTCCGCGGAACAAGTCCTACCGGGCCACTGGCTTGCTGGGCGCCGCCATCTTTTTTTGATGAAAAAGTGCTTCCGGTGAGCTTTTCCGGGTAGAAAGCTCACCGGAAGCACTTTTTCATCAAAAAAAGATGGCGGCGCCCAGCTAATGCCAGTACCGGGCCGCGCCATAAAAAAGGTTGGGGATACTGGGCCGCGGCGTAAAAAAGGTTGGGGATCACTGTCTTAAGGTGTAGAAGTGTGTTAGGGTGGTGCACCATTTAGGACAGTGGTGGCTAACCTTTTTGGGCTCCTGTGCCAAAAATTGTGTGCGCCCTTGTGTGCCAGCACCCAGAAGGCAATGCCTGCCCCCATGCCCCCTGCGCATGTGCGCACAATCTCCCCACACACACACCTTTCCTGCACTATGCCTCCTAGCTGATTTTCGGCCCATTTGAGGCCTTTTTCGTCCTCCCAGAGGCTTGAGGAAAACTTCTGCAGGCCGAAAAATGGGCCCGTTTCATCACTTCCAGTATTACCAGAAATACAGGAAGTGATGACAGGCCTATTTTTCAGCTTACATAGGCTTTCCTCAAGCCTCTGGGAGGCTGAAAAAGGCCTAAACAGGCCGAAAATCAGCTGTGAGGCACGCACATGCACAGTGAGTTAAGTTTGCCTGCGGCTCACGTGCTGGCACAAATGGCTCTGTGTGCCACCTGTGGCACATGTGCCATAGGTTCGCCATCATGGATTTAGGGTCTGCAAGAATATGATAGTTATACCCATCTGTAATACTTTAAAGCAGCCATTCCTTCTCCTAAGAAAAGACACACTTTTGTGTGTTGCATTCTCACTTCTACAGTGTCCAAGTACTGCAGTCTTACACCATGCATTAAATGCAGTGTGAAAAAACTTTGGACGAATCTGAAAGTTGTCAGTCTGATTTTCAAATTTCTTGTCTACTGCCTTGTCCCCACTCAGTGTCTTGTGCTAAGAAAGTTCTAATTTTGTGCATTTTACTTAAAGTCTAATCCTTTCAGTAGTTTGAGTTGGGTCACAGTTACACATATCCAATTATCTGATGGTGGTCCTGGATTGTTGGGTTTTCTACTGTGAGCAAATGGACAGGACAAATTAAAACATGCAATAATAGATATTCTAATTGAGATTTCCGTGTGGGGAGATTCACTATTCTAAAAGGTGCAACTTGAGAGTAGCCCAGAATTGTTATTGCAGCAGAAAAGGCCTTTTTGCTGTTTGAGTTACCAGGCACCTCTTGTAAACTTGGACATTGCCTCTAAAACAACATTCTTTCATTAGTCTTCAACTTACAATCATTCATTTAGTGACTGTTCAAAGTTACAATAGCACTGAAAAAAATGATTTGTGACTGTTTTACACAAGACCAGTACACTGGTACAGCATCCCCATAATCCCCATGATCAGAATTGAGGTGCTTGGCAATTGGTTCATATTTATGATACCTACAGTATCCCGGGAGGAGGGGGGTGTCATGTGATCACCTTTTGCAACCTTCTCACAAGCAAAGTCAATGGGGAAGCCAGGTTCCTTTAACAGCCATGTTACTAAACAGCTGTGGCCAGAAAGTTCGTAAAATGGGGCAAGTCACTTAACTGTCTTGCTGAGCAACAGAAAATTTGTGCTCAGTTGTTGTAAGTCAAGGACTACCTGTAGCATCTTCAATATGTTCACACATTCTCTATAGTTCTGCTATTGTGGAGCAAAGATTATGCCAGTCACTACAAAATGGTTCTGCCAGTTACTACCATGTTTTCCCGAAAATAAGACCTAACTGGAAATAAGCCCTAGCATGATTTTTCAGGATGCTTGTAATATAAGCCCTCTGTCGGGGTTCTGACGATTGCCCTAATCATTCCTATGCCTGTTTCCGAGTTGCCACCCTACCCCCAAAATAAGTCCCAGTTAAGATCATCAGCCAGTTAGTACCGTATTTCCCTGAAAATAAGATCTAACCTGAAAATAAGCCCTAATGTGTCTTTTGGAGCAACATACTATAAAACTGGGTCTGATTTTGGGGGAAACAGTACCTGGAGCCACACACATTTTAAATATGCCCTTTGCAGCTTCAATACAAGGTGCTAAATTTAGCCACTGGAGCCATAAAAAAACCAAGCTCAAAAACCAGCTACTGAACACACCATTTCATGCTCTTCCTCTCCCATTCACGTTCTGTTCAGCAGCTGAAACCACACACCAGAGATAATTTTTCTCTTCCCGTTTATCAACACAGCTTTCATCATCAGCTGTCATTTTTGTATTTATTTAAGAATGCCACAATCAAGGAATATGTACTTTAAAAAAATTATTATTAGATCAAAAATCATGTTACAGGATTCTCTTACAGGAGCCAGAAAGTTTTAATACAGATTGGTTTGGGCAATTTTTCCCCACCTTGTAAAATTGAATAAATACAGAAGTAAAAAAAAAAAAAAAACACAAGCAACTCTTTTCCGATCAGAGCACAAGGAAGTAGACCAACAGGAAAATGTGGGGTTTTTTTTCCCCCTGCATCTGAAATCTTCAAGGAGATGAACCAAAAAGGACATTATTTAGAGCATTGGTCGAAACTAGAAAAAACAGTTGTAGCCTTTCTAATTAAGGCACCCACCGTGGAATCCAGTGCTATGAAAATTAAAGCCCATTTGTCCAAGAAAACAATCCAGCCATGCCCTGCCCCTTACTGTGCCCCTCTTCCCTATCTGCTCTGGAGGAGATTTGGAGGGCATTTGCAAGGATTAGGGTGGGGAGAGAACTCACTCTATTTCCAGTTGTACTGATAGAAATATGTTTCCAGCCTTGAACTGCCTCTAAGGAATGTGCAGGCTACTTTATTATTTTTCGTTACATTTTTGCAAGGAAATTTCCCTTGTTCACAGTAACACCCAGGAATCTAAGGCAGAAAAGATTCTCTGGCACTGCGTAAAAGAAACCAAGGACATGAGGCTACCACAGAAGATCCATCCAGATCCACACACAAGGCAAATGTATTTTGTGCTGCAAACCGCCATGAAAAGCACCCTAACTGACAAAAAGCAATTTTCTGCAGAACACCTATGGACTGTGTGTTTCCAGTACTGGATGGGCCTAGCACCTTGGAAGGATCCACGTACAAAAAAACAAAAAGGATTAAAAAAACAACTTTTCCAGTTTCACAATGTGCTTGTCATATAGAACAGGGTAAGAACAGAAGCCTACGTTCGGTTTGTGCCTAAAGCCTTAATATTTCAAAGTGGGGGAGAAAAGAATTGGTCCCATATTTGCTCTTTTGCAGAATGTGAAAGAAAAAGAAAAGAAAAGTGGGTTCAGAAAAAGAAGCTGCCAATCCAAACATGACTGTCAGGTTTTTCTTGACCTTCAAAGTCTGGGTGCCTTCCCCACAGACTTATATGCTGCCCAGTTCACAGAGGGTTTGATCCAACGTTCGGTGCAGAGTCAAATTCTCTTCTTTCGCTAGGGCAACTTTTTCTGGTGAGAATGGGAAAAAATATTAAGAAAAGAAAAAAACAATTTCAAAAGAATAGGACGGGTTCTGAATTCACACTCTAATTCATGTTCCAATTTTAGTTGCCTCTGTTTAAAAACTGCCCAGGGATGGGATTTGACTGGATTGGCTGAACCCCTTGCTCCGAAAACCAGCTGGCAGCGAACCAGTTCACTGCAACTATCATGTGGGCCCGCCCCTGCGCTTTACCTACCTATATCTTCTCAGCTGATTAGTGCGGCACAGTGGATTACCGCTTCTTAGCTGTGTTATTTGAGTGCTGTGCACATGGGCATAGCGCGCGATCAACAAACCAGTTGTTAAACCTTGAAAATCCCACCCCTGAAACAGCCATGTTCCTTCAATTACATCAGGGGTGTCCAACCTTGGCAACTTTAAGACTTGTGGACTTCAACTCCCAGAATTCCTCAGCCAGCTTTGGGAGTTGAAGTCCACAAGTCTTAAAGTTGCCAAGGTTGGACACCCCTGAATTACATCTTTCCCTGTGATCTTATATTATTCTTGTGCCCGATACATTCATCCCAAAGGGCCGGCTGAAGGAGCGAAACCTGTTCTGGGATGGTGAGATTTAAGTAAGAAACACCCAGGAAGTCTGACAAACTGAGGAGCAAAGGTGCCACAACCCTTTATTACCGGAACTGAATTAGTGAAAGGTTTAAGTCAGCAAGAGTCACAGTTGTAGCTGTGTTCAAAGGTCATCAAAGCTCAACCCACTGCTCAAAGGAGGAACTAGCTGGAGATAAGATTTTATACTCCTAAAAAAAGGAAAACTCCAGACTGAATTTCCCACAAAATGGCCTGATTCAGTGATGGGATTCTACCAATTTCCCTACCGGTTCGGTGATCGCGCACTTTGCACGTGCACACACACCTAACATTGCACGTGTGCACAGCTTTTCACATACCAGCCGAGGCTCTGCAGTGCCAATCAGATGAGAGGATAAAGAACAGAAAAGCGCAAGGGGCGGGTGGGAGACCAATCCTGTGTTTCTTTTCTTTCTCCTCTCAGCTGATCATTGGAGCTTTTTTTAAACTACCAGAAGCAATTTTTGTTACCGATTTGGCTGAACCGGCCTGAACTGGTAGCATTTCACCACTGGTCTGATTTCATTGGGTTAGGGAAGGGGTCCCCAAACTTGACAACTTTAAGACTGGCATAGCTGGCTGGAGAATTCTGGGAATTGAAGTCCACAAGCCTTAAAATTGCCAAGTTTGGAGGCTTCTGGGTTAGGGTGATTTCCAGATCCAAATGGAAAATGAAAATTTTATTTTCAGGAGAGTTATAGAAATAATCTCCAACTCTATACTGTTCTGTTGAATCAGTGTTCAAGCTAAAGTGAAAGAGACTGTCGTTTTATACAGGAAACAAAGAACAAATGCCTTGTACATCATAAACGGCAAGTGAGAAAAGATTCCTGAAATATATATATATATATATATTTAATTGAAGTGCAATTTTTACAGAAAAAGACTTGTGAAAGCACACAGAGAAAAAGGAAAGCAGAAGCTGCTTAGCAAAAAACTCCAAGCAGGATAGAAAGCCCCACTGTATTTATCTACTACAAGGAAGTCATATCATTGAGTGCGTGGTCCAATTCCTCACTGATGGCCTTGTATTTCAACTTTTGAGCATACAGCTCATCTGCAGGGCAAAGTGTGGCGAGAGAGGCAGGATGAAATGCCGAAATAGCAGGCGCATAGGCAAGTTCAGAGATGTTGCCACAGAGCAAGGAGAGGTGAAAGAGAAAAAGAAAGGGAAAGAAATGAATGTTAAAACACAGAAATGCAAGATGAACATGAAAAAGTAACAGAAAGTTTGGAATGTTGGAAAGATTAAACATTCAATTTTCAGAGCATGAAGAACATTTTAAATTTCAGCTGCTTACACTGGCCTGTTATAATTGCCCTGGATTTGACTGGACCCCAAAGAAGGTTGTTTCAAGCATAAAACATTTCCAAGTAATCAAATCAGGATATTTCAAATTTGGGACAGCTGTTTTGACCTTGGAAGGCACTTTGCCTTCAAAACAATTCTAATTCAAAACATTTTGCACTCCCCTATTCAGTATTATATATGCTACTTTGAGCTCTTAAATCTTTCATTAAATTATTGCAATATTTTTTAAAACTCCAAATGCTATGCAAATTGCAAAGAATGAGCTTTGTTCACCTGAAGACCAACCTATCAAATTAATGACAAAAATGAAAAATGTTCCATCTTAATTATTCTTATCCTCAGGTGCTGTATTAAATTGCACCAAGATACTGAGCAAGACTGCCATAAAACGCTCTAGGGCAGGAAAAAGCCTTGTAGAGCAGGGGTCTCCAACCTTGGCAACGTTAAGACTTATGGACTTCAACTCCCAGAGTCGAAGCTGGCGAAGGTGGCTGAGGAATTCTGGGAGTTAAAGTCCAGAAGTCTTAAAGTTGCCAAGATTGGAGACCCCTGCTCTAGATGCCAATTCACAGAAATGTAATGATGCAAAAAGTATCCCATTAAAAGTTTTCCACACCAAGCTTCAAAAGCTTTATCCCATACCTTCCAAATCATCAATGCTCTTTTCCAGTTTAGCAACTGTTCTCTCTGCAAACTCAGCTCGTGTTTCAGCCTAAGAACAGACAAATAAAGCAATGAAAAGGTTGTACTACGGATCCGACGTCACTTTTCCTCCTTCCATCTCTAAGCCCAGAAGATCACTGGCCTCACTCACCTCCTTCAGCTTGTCAGTCAGAAGTTTGATCTCCTCTTCATACTTGTCCTCTTTTTCAGAATACTATGGAAACAAGGTTAACATCAATCATTTTGTTTGTAAGAGGAGGGGAGGAGAGTTCCGGGGAAAAAAGGAACTGAAACCATCTCATTTCTTAATTATTTATATATTGGACTTCCTCTAGGATGAAGTCCAGAGACACCAACTCCCTCTTTTACTGAGACCCAAGGGCCACCCATAATATAGGCCAGTGGTGGCTAATGTTTTGGGCTCCTGTGCCAAAAATTGTGCGCGTACTTTCATGCTCATACTTGTGTGCCAGCACCTGGAAGGCAATGCGTGTGCCCCCCACGTCCCCTACGCATGCGCACACAATCCCCAACCACCCTCACCCCACCCCTTACCTGCACTGCGCCTCACAGATGATTTTCGGCCGGTTTGAGGACTTTTTCGGCCTCCCAAAGGCTTGAGGAGGGCTTCTGCAGGCTTCTACAAGCTTTGTAGGCCGAAATCTAGCCCCGTTTTCTCACTTCCTGTTTTTCTGAAAAAAAATGGAAGTGACGAAACAGGGCTAGATTTCAGCCTACAAAGCCTGTAGAAGCTTGGAGAAGCCTTCCTCAAGCCTTTGGGAGGCCGAAAAAGTCCTCAAACCGGCCGAAAATAAGCTGTGAGGCGCACACATGTGCAGTGAGGTAAGTTTTCCTGCAGCTTGTGTGCCGGCACAAATGGCTCTGCGTGTCACACGTGCCACAGGTTCGCCATCACAGTTATAGGCTCACTAAATGTCAGCAACATTATTTAAAGGTGAAGAAGCAAAACAGAAGCATTAAATCATTACTAAAAACATCTCATGTATTTATGATGGTGGCAGTGACTGGGGGGGGGGGGGGGTTGTTGTCATGTGATCACCTTTTGCAACCTTCTGACAAGCAAAGTCAATGAGGAAGCCGGATTCACTGAACAATCATCTTACTAACTTAACAACTGCAATGATTCAGTTAACCGCTGTGGCAATAAAGGTTGTAAGATGGGGGCAAAATCACTTAACAACTCTCTTGCTCAGCAATGGACATTTTGGGCTCGGCTGTGGTTGTAGCACCCTCAGAGCATCCCCCCCAAAGCAATTAAACCACATGGCCCACGGGAACCCTCCCTGCCCACTCACTCCTTACCCAGCAAACTTGCCTGCTAAATTGCTATTTTTCCTTTTTCTGACCATCAGCTGTTCTCTGTGCCACTAGCTAGGAAGCAGGGAATGGTTGGATTTCTTGCTTTCTAGCTAGTCTTTAGATCTTCGGCTCTGCTTTTAAGCACAGCTGAACCTCCCTTAGGACTGAAGGTTCTATTATTCAGTGCAGACTTACGGCAAGCAAATTTTATGTGACAGACTGAGCTAGCCGATGGCAGATAGATAGATCACTTCAGCAACTCAATCTGCCTGCCTGCTTTGCCTGATTTTGGGTAAAAGTTGCTCTTTTTTTATAAAAAATTCAATATTTATATAAATATTTATAATATTTACATACAAGCCATGCCCAGCCAGTCACATGACCACTAAACCACACCCACAAATTCAGCCATGCTCACAGAACCGGTTTAGCGGTCCCTGGGATTTAAAAGTATGAGTTTGGTGGTCCCTGAGGTCCAAAAGGTTGGTGACCCCTGGACTAGAAGACCTTCAAGATCCCTTCCAACTCTGTTATTCTGACCACATAGCTAGATTTTCTTCATGACTACCTATCCCTAACCTAGCTTTCATTCTTCAAGAGTGCATCCCTCATCACAGTAACTGAGTACATTCTTAATCAGCAGAGAAGATAAACCCCCAAGCTACCAAAGTGGAATATTGTTGTGGTTTGAGCTGGCAGTAGAGTTAGATGAGTCAGAGGAGATGGAGGGGATGCCAGGGTTACTATCAGGGCCTGTGAAAGGCTCTGAGGAGCAGAAGGTCTCAGAGCCAGATGCAGAGTAGGGCCCACCTACTCACACCCAGGCAGATATAGCTGTTTTCATATAGCTGAGCTGAGCAAGGGGGGAGGAACAGCTGGGGCCTGTCCCAGATGCGTGTATGCGCAGAGAAGTGTGGAGAGGAGAGCAACTGAGAACTGAGGGCTAGCTATCCAGGAAAAGAAGATGTTAACAAGCCCCTCCCTGGCTGGGATATAAAGAGGGATTGTCAGAGACAACCATTCATGCTCCAGAAGAGTTTCCTCTGGCGGATTCCTTGCCTGGATTTCCTTGCCACTATCCAGGTTGGTCAGGACTCTTTGTGTTGGGATTGAAGTGCTAATTGAGTCTCCCTGAGGGGGAACTCAGAGATTGCTACAGCTTGCAAATCACCTAAGGATGTGTGCCCTGGAGCTCTGTCAGTGAAGACCATGTATTCCTGCCTTTCTAGATAAAAAGGGTTTTCTCTTCTTTTTATTAGGTTTTATTTATTTTATTTATTGAGGTTGTTGAATGGGGTTCGTGAAAGCTGGGTCAGAACGAATATAGGGGGAAGGGAAATCACCTCAGTGGTTCATTATAAGAGCAGAGCCCTATCCATCCCATCTATGCTTGAACCAGTGGTGGGATACAAATGTTTTTACTACCAGTTCTGTGGGTGTGGCTTGATGGGTGTGGCAGGGGGAGGATATGGTAAAATCTCTGGTCAGAGGTGGTATTTGCCGGTTCTCCGAACTACTCAAAATTTCTGCTACCGCTTCTCCAGAACTGGTCAGAACCTGATGAATACCACCTCTGGCTTGAACCTTTAAAACAAAACAAAACTGAAATTCAATTCCTGACCCTTAAAAGGTTAGGGACCACCAACCTTCTCTGATTGAGCTTCAAGGGATTTCAGGTTGTTGGTGACATTCTTGAGTTCTTCCTCCAGGTCACTGCATTTCCTACGCAAAGCAATATAAATCATCCGCTATCAGCTCCCGGTCTTCTATTCGTTAAATGAAAACATCATTGCCCTCAGAAGTTTCAAGAACCTCTTTACTGACCCACTGTTTCACCTATTTTGTAATTTATTTATATCCAGCATTCTTACATGTAAAAATCTCAAGAAGACAACCCATAATGAAAACATAAAACATTTTCAAAATATGAGGTGTGAGGAAAATTAAAATCATTCCCATATAACAGCAAACCACCCCCCACCGCCAGTCCTGAGGGGAAAAAATGTGATTTCAGCCTGCATTAAAAGAAGATTTGCTTTCAGAAGTTAGAGATTATCTTAAATATAAGAACCATGGTGGCGCAGTGGTTGGAATGCAGTACTGCAGGCGGACTTTGCCCACAGTTTGGAGTTTGATCCTGATGGGACTGAAGGTTGACTCAGTCTTCTATCCTTCCAAGGTCCATGAAATGAGAACCCAGATCGTTGGGGGCAATATGACGACTCTGTTAACTGCTTAGAGAGGACTATAAAGCACTATGAAGTGGTATATAACTCTAAGCGCTATTGCTACTATCTGGAACCAGTCCGGATTGGGATGTTTTGGGAGTAGAATCAACATCAATCATTCTGATGGGAGAATGGAAGAGGGGGATCTCCCTGCAACCCTGGACAGCATTAAACATGAGAATCTCCTGGATTGGGCCTTTGAGGCTGTAATGGGAGACATTATGATAGTGATTCTACTCTAAAAAGTCAGTTACAGTACTCACACTGGGGGAAGAACTGTGTTTATATAGGTGTGAAACAGTATTCTGCAGTACTGTTTCACACCTATATAAAATAGCCGGTACATTATTAGGGGATTTGAAGCTAAAAGACACTGGAATGTAATCTGCCCATCTGGTGATTGACACACCGCCTGTTGAAAGATCTTCACAGGGTGGAAGGTATGACTGCCCTTCTCTGTGGTACCCCCACTTTACAGAAGTCTCTACTAAGGATAGTAGCGGCCTACAAATTTTTTAACAACTGGTTCTCTGGCTGGGTAGGCGTGGCTGGTTGGTCATATGACTGGGTGGGTGATGTAACTCATCACACCCAGCCCCGCCTCCTGGCCACTCGCCTCAAAGGAACAATTAGGATTCAGCCGGTTGGTGCTAATTCCATCACTGGCTGGCCCCACACATTTGGGGGCTATTTTCAGGGCATTTTGGGGCTGCTTTCAGTCTGTTTTTCAGGCCAATTTTGGCTGGAAAAACAGCCTGAAAATAACCCTGAAAACGGCCTGAAAACAGCCCAGAAAACAGGCCATTTTGGGGACTGTTTTTGGCTGGAAAAACAGCCTGAAAATGGCCTGAAAAACAGTTTGAAAACAGCCCGAAAAACAGGCGGTGGTCCAATTTGCCAGTTCCCCGAACCATGCAGAATCGGAACAAGGAATTCAGGTGAACCCGTCCGAACCTGCAGCAGCCCACCTCTGACTAAGGAAATACGTCCAGCCCTCCTTTTGTGAGTACTCCTTATGGAAGTCAAGGCTGTATTGTTTCAAGAATCCATTATCTCTTACTAAGTCTTGTATGGAGGTGTTCATTTTCTGGAATTAATTTGGAGATTATTATGATTTTTTTTCCTACTGCTGCATGCTGCCAGGGTTCTTCAGGGATGGGTGGGTTAGGAGTGCAGAAAGAGACTCCGACAACAATTCAAGGCTCTCTAGTATAGTTACACACATCCAAGACCATCCTCACGCACCATAGGTGGCTCGATGAGGACAAACAAGCTGAAGAACAACCAAGTAAACCAATAGTTCCACAGAGAGATGACTGTCAAGTCTGGTAATGTTCTGAATAGAGCTCAAAACAGGCACATAAACAGCTGAGAGGCACAATCGACTTGTATCCAACAGCCTTAATTATTAGCTGCGATGCTCCACATGGAGTTTCCCTTGAAAAGTGGCCCAGAAATTACAGCTACTGCAAAGTGCCTAGAGAACACGGGTTGGGAAAGATGATTCTGGATGCTCTCCAGCACTTTTTAGAAGTTACTTTGCAGGTAACTAATGAGTTTCTTGCTTTAATCAGATTTCTGACAAGCAATGATCAACTCACAGTTCAGACACCTCAGCTCGTTCTTCAGCTCTTTCCAGTTCTCCCTCCAGAATGACAAGCTTACGGGCAACCTGGAGAAAGTTAAAAAAAAAAAGTCACTGGGTGCCCCAAACAATATAGTTCCAACATAAAGCACCTATTACGGTCAACATCTGCACTCCTCTACACTCCCCAAATAGCGAACTGGTATTTAAATAAGATTGTCACTCCCTTGGAACATTATGGAGTCCAGCTGCAGTGATGAAACACTGATCCCCCTGATATTTTCTCAGTGATTCTGAGTGACAAATAATGCTTCTATCAGAGCTGTTCTCATGCTTTCACTTGAAATGTTAAGTTCTAGATTTGCAACATAGACTGGAGCACATTCCAAAGAGAACACGCAAATCAGGCTCACGAGAAGCACAGAAATTCAATCAAAATAAAATTAAGATTCAGGGCATCGTGGAGACTCACCTTGTTCATTATAACTACCTTTGAAACCTCAGCTCAGGCTCTTAGGAAACTACCTAATCCCTGCCCACTTTGTGACTTGTCTAGCCAAGTTTTATCTCTTACTCCAGATCTTTCGAGCAGAGCAAGGATTTCCCAGACATGCTGCCAGAGGCAGTTTTAAACTGGAGGAACTAAGCCCAGGGCCTCCTGCAGAAAAAAAACCAGGAGCTTCAACTCTGGGCTGCGATTCCACCAAAATAGACTGGAAGACATAGGGTGACAAATGACATTTTGAGTTTGCAGTCTTTTCCTTGTTTCTTTAGGGCAACTGTGCTTGCCAGCTTTTAAATAAGTTCAAACTGTCAGCATGACAGATGCCCAGGAACGTGTTCCTGCCCCAAACTGTTCCCAGATGTTTCCCTCTCTCTCAGGATAACTGCCTCACCTCCTCATATTTGCGGTCAGCTTCTTCAGCAATGTGCTTGGCTTCCTTCAGCTGCATCTCTTGAATCTCCATTTTCTCCTCATCCTTCATAGCTCTGTTTTCAATGACCTTCATACCTCTGTAGAAGGAGACGAAAGTATACTTTTAAACCCTTTGGGAAAGTTGTCTACATATATTATTTGTGTCTTGGTGGGATCCATTTTTGGAGGATTTATCATGACCAATGAGGCAGCAGAGTCCTGCATGGACAGCAACTTTCACATCTGTTCAACAACTGGAAAAATGTGGCCGATCTTGCTGTGCAAAGCGTATTTCATAATTATGTGCATGATAGAACTTAATCCTGCCTAGTCTTTCCACACTGCAAACCTTCTAGGAATGGGTTCCTGAATCTCTACATCCATCTATGCTTTATTATTATATGTTGTGTTTGTTTTTTTTAGACTTTTCTAGTTAAATCAGCATTCACGTGCATAATACCTCTGCCATCTACTATTGTGCTCATTTGTCTTTATATTTATACAGTACTTTTTATGGCTATGTATAAATCAACTTAATGTTTACTTTGAATTCTAGGAGTTGAAGTTCACATTTCCTCCTTGAGCAGGGGGTTGGACTAAAAGACCTCCAAGCTCCCTTCCAACTCAATTATTCTCTTACATATCAGCACAGCACAACATCAGGAAAAGCGTAGTAGATCAATAAATTTTACAATAACCACTAAGAGCAGCTTAGTTTTTTTTTTCTTAGTATCTTTTTAAGCACAAAGCAATTTATAGTAGCAATATTATTTTTTGGGATTATATTTCATAGTTTTTTGACTCATCAATTGACAGTAAAATATTTGCTCAACAAAACATGATTAGGCTGTTGGATTGTGCTCCGAGCGTGGCAATTTGGTTGCAAATGTTTCGTCACCATTCGAGGAGACATCATCAGTGCGTTTTGAGTTATGTTCGTCTTTGGGAACACAGGCCTTTAGACAAGCACAACTCAAACGCACTAACAATGTCTCCTCAAATGGTGACGAAACGTTTGCAATCAAGTTGCCAATCTCAGAGTCAAATCAACAGCCTAACTACCAACCTGAGCTACTAATATTCAAACACATTTCAAAACATGATTATTACAATTCTAGTGGCTGTTAATATATAGTCACCATTGTGATATAATTTCTAGTTATCTATTTTTTATTTTTTCCAAAAACAAAATGAAAAGGGACCAGAACTTTGTTTATCTGTCTTTCTGCCAGCAAGTTATTTGTCTGAAAACTGAGCAGAACAGGACTAATTTAGAGTTTGGAAAAGAAGCTGGCCAATAGAAAACTAAGTCTGAAAACTAGGTAGGTCAGGCTGGGATCTGGAAAAAAAAAATCCTCTATCATTTTCCCCACTGCATCTCAATGAGAAAGACAAGGGGATAAAATTTAGTATTATTGTCACTTGCTCCATTGTAAGCCCTTCCTATCACATTGCCCAGAGGAGAATGTATACAAACCACATGGTGTTTCCCAATGCACCCATACAGATTAACAGATACACCACAGAACAAAAAGGAAGACTTCAAAGAGCCATGGTCAGCATGCTTTCCTTACGTCGTTAATAATTCTTGGTAGCTGTATTATTAGAGCACCGTTTTACAACCTCAGCAGCTTTAAGATCTGTGGAACTTTAACTCCTGTTTGCTGGAGAATTCTGGGAGTTGAAATCCAGCCATATTAAAGGTGCTGAAGTTGAGACATACTTAAGTAGATGATATCAATGGCTAATCTCCTGCAATCTATATCTGAGGGACAACCTTTCCCTAAAGACATCTATCTATTCTACCAGGGCAGTTAGGGTGGGCAGGGTACCCGCCCCCCTTCCCCTAAATATTGATTTCTGATGGGAGCTAGGAAGTGTGTCTTTTCAGTGGCAGTTCCTGCCCTATGCAACACCTTTCTCCCTGAAGGCCTCTACCCTCCTAGACTTTTGTAAAGCTTTAAAGACCTGGCTTTTCCCCTCAGGCATTGGGAGATGATTGAAGGTTGACTTGGTGCCAGGTTTTCATTGTTTGTATCCATTTAGTTTTATAGCTTTAACAATGACTTTATATATTGTTTTATCTTTTTATTGGGAGCTGCCCACAGCTGGTTAGAATATGGGCAGCTGCATAAATGTTTTAACTAAACAAAATTCCTCACCTTGTGAAAACTTCTTAAACAAGGTACAGTCCTCAACTTACAGCCACAATTGAGCCCAACATTTCTGTCGCCAAGAGAGACAGCTCTTAAGTGAATTTTGCCCTATTTTACGAACTTTCTTGCCACGGTTGTTAAGTGAATCAGGCAATTGTTAAGTTAGCAACATAGTTGTTGAGTGAAACTTGATTCCCCATGGTCAGAATATCACAAAAGGGAATCACATGACCCCACGGACACTGCAACCATCATAAATATAAGACAGTTGTCAAGCATCTGAATTTTGATCGCATGATCATAGGGATACTGCAACGGTTGTAACTGTGGAAAAAGTCCTAAAGCACTTTTTCAGTGCTGCTGTAACTTCAGATGGTCACTAAATGAACTGTTGTGAGGACTACCTTTACCCCCAGATCTGTGAAAAATGTCTGCTGCCCTCTTCCACCACCAATCAATATCTAAAAATACTGAGAGTAACCATCAAAGAAAGCCACATGCACTGAACAGTGTAAAGACCTTTGTTCTTGTTCCTTTCTCAGCTCTCTTGTCAGGACTTGTCAGGACTTTTTTTAAAAAGATGTTTTAGCTGACTCACTTTAAGACCAAGAATACAGATTTGCTAAACCAGGAACAAAGCTGATAATGTAGCTGATTAAGGTAGCTTAGTATACAAACGTCTCTAAGCTCTGATTTCCTTTTACAAAGAAGTAATTCACCGATTATTTCATTAAGCTGCCTTATTGTTAAGTCATTTTTATTAGGCTGCTTTGGATTCTTTGAACTTCTGTGAACACATTATCTTCTTGATTTAGATCACAAATTTTATTTTTACCATTTAAAGCTAAAGTCGACCAAATTTTCATGGTACACATTTTTTCTCATGGCTATGAAGGCAGTGGTCAGCAATGGCTGTTAGTCTCAAAATTAATGCTTTTCCAGACTTTTGGGAAAAGAACATTCTAATATTTAAATTTTGGGGAGATATCACATGGCTGATAATTAGCAATTTGTCATTATATTTTAACAGGACAAAGTATTGGGGGGCGGGGCGGGCACATGCAAATTTCAACTCATGGATGGCCAATCTGTAATTTAAGCCTCCTAGTAAGAGAAAGCAAAACAGGCTAATAATGCCCGGGGTGGAAATGATCAGATGTCTGTCTTTATCCATGTAACTTTTTTCTTCCGTTCAATCATGTCCGGCTCTCAAAGTTTCCAAGGACAAATCCTTGTAGTTTTCTCTTGGCGAGGTTCTTCAGAAGTGGTCTGCCATTGCCTCCATCGTAAGGCAGGGAGAAGTGACCAGCCCAAGATCATCCAGCTAGTATTGAGCCTAAGGCAGAACTGGAATTCTCCTAGACTGTCTCCTGGTTTCTCCTGCCTTGTGCCTTAACCACTACACCAAACTGGCTCTCAATCTGACTTTAAATCAAGGGGGAAAGGTTGTAAAATGAATAATAACCTGATCCTGAACATGTCAAGGCACATCTAACTTTACACTGTTTGCCACAGTATTCTTTGTCCCTTATTTTTTTTACAAAATACCGTATTTGTAGGAAGGCTGGGAGCACAAACGGGCAATATATACAGGCAGTCCTCAACGTACGACAATGGAACTCAACATTTATGTTGTTAAGGGAGAAATTCGGTGAGTTTTGCCCCCATTTTACGATTTTTCTCTGCCCCTTTATTTATGTGAATCACCACAGGTCTTAACATGGTTGTGAAGTGAATCTGGCTTCCCCGTTGATTTTGCTTGTCAGACGGTCGCAAAAGGGGGAAATCACACAATTCCGGGACAACTGCAACCGTCATAAATGTGAGTTGGTTGTCAGGCATCCGAATGTAAATCACCGTGACTGTGGGAATGCTGCAATGGTCGTAAGTGTGAAAAATAGTCCTTAGTCAACTTTTTAAAGTACCATTATAACTTTGGTCACTACATGAACTATTGTTGAGGACTCCCTGTATATTCCTTTGATTACATGAACTTTAAATTCACGGTTCTTTACTGAAATAAGGCAGCGCTGATCTGAACTGATTATCTAAAGCAGGGGTCTCCAACCTTGGCAACTTTAAGCCTTGGCGGACTTCAAC